ATTAAAAGGGTACAGAGGGTGCCCTGCATCCCTTGGGACCCTCTTCCCATCCACCTGGAAAGAGAGACAGATAGATGACTCCGTTAGCAGGAGCTGCCATTCCAAACACTCAGGGCATCTTCCTAAACAAACTCATCTGCGTACAGTGCTATGCCAAGTGGCAGTGGCTCAGATCCCCCCCCATTCAGAGAATGCCACAGTATCAACAGCGTTCCTGCACCAAGCACATGGCCTGACACAAAGCTGTTCCTGCCCTAAGAGTCTGTAGTCTCAGCCGGGATCAAGTGGCCAGGAACTATTTATTTCCCCATGTGCGGCAGACTTCACCCCCAAACCAACCCCTCTAACGAGGTCAGCAGTGCCTTCAGGGCTCCCCTCGCATCATTTACTGAGAAACTGCCACATGTCAGGAGCTGGGTTCATTTTACAGATAGGAAGTTGAGGCTTGGAGAAGTTAAATAACTTGCTCTAGATTATAATATATCAAGAAGTAGGACTGGGCTTACAGGTTATATCCGTTATCTGAGCCATACTACTTCCCTGAGCTCAGGAAAGTGAAAAGAAAGCAGTATATCCAGGATAGCAATCCCACCATCTCCCTCCCACAACCAGCAAGCCTGAGGCCAGACCCACACCAGAGCCCCACCCCAAATCCCACGTTACACTCCCTGACTCTGAGGAGTGATACATCCTCACCGTAAGCATGGGCACAATATATCGCCAATTTTTGTTCAGGGCATCCAGCTGCTTCATCTCTTCTGGGCTAAAGGTAAAGTCAAACACCTGGGGACAGAGAGCGGGGTTCAGGAAAGCCAGCCTTCTGAGCAGAAGCTGGGGTCCCACAACACTGCCGTTTTAGGTAGGTAGAGTTGGGGCCAGAAAGTATCCCAAGGACCTAAAGAAGACACAATCCATTACCAAGTACCTGGATGTTCTGAAGGATACGAGAGGGAGTGATACTCTTGGGGATGCAAATCACTTTCCGCTGGACCTGCCACCTAAATTGGGGATTAAGGTAGATGAGGAAAAGGAGTCAGTATTCATAAGCGTTCTTTGGTCCACCATGCAGCCTTCCTCAAGTGGCTGGAGCACCTGAGCCCCCCTGGAATGGGAAACATGCCGAGTGGCCTCCCCTCATATCACATGGCAAGATCTTCAGCCTCACCCACACACTAAAATAAGGAATCCCTTACCCCTGCCTCCCAACCCAGGAGGCCTTTCCCTAAGACTGCCCTGTACCTGAGCAAGATCTGAGCTGGAGATCGGCCATACTTCTCAGCCAGTGCCAGGACCACTGGTTCCTCAAGCAGGACAGGCTCACCAGGATCACGC